ATGACTTCTTTGTTTAATATGAAATGGTCCATGCATGAGTGCTTAATGTGAAATTCATAGTGAAATCCATAGCTGTTACCGCGGGAAGTTTGATATTTACGAGGTCCGGAGTTTTCGACTTGCCGCAGCGACAGTCGGAATTCAGCGGTGTGTGAAAGAATTATCGTAGCGCGCAGACGCCGAGTGTCACGTGGCCTCCTCACTCGTGCACGTGCGTGACGAAAGTGCTCGTGTACGCTCTTGAGCACACGCTGTGAATTCGTTCACGCCGTTTCTTACGCGTGTCAACACACCCCGGAGTTTTGAAAGCACTGGCCGCGCAGGCCCCGGTCGAACATCATTCACTAGAAATAGATGGCCGACGGGGATGGGATTTCCCCTCGACTGCACGCTGTGACGCAGGGAGTCACGTGGCACAACGCTGGCTCCCATAATTCTCCGCTTCCAATCTTTGCTGGCATCGTTGCGGATTATTTAGAGCGGTGCCTCGTTCACCGGGCGGATGGCGGCATTCCAGCCCGTGACCGAGGGTCGGTCTCGGCTCTCGTTACCATGGAGACGGAGCAGCCACTGCCGGGAATGATGTATCGTTTTCGGGTGTGATTTACGAAATCACCGGGGAGTAACCCTCGTCGCTCTTGGACTGGTGACCACGGTAACTGCCGGGGAACATGGTTCAAAGCCTTCTCCGAATGCCCTGCTCATATTGGCTTCTATGATCAGTTCTGTGCGCCACAGCAGCACCCTACCAAAGCGCGTGAGTCTTTCGTGGATGAAACCCATGTGAAGATGGCCATCGATTGGTCTCAAATTCCAGGCGGAATTCCTGAGCTATAGCTGCAGGGCACACTATTACTATCCATGCCTCAAATTCCAGTTGGAATTCCCAAGCTAGAGTTGCAAAAAAAACTTCCGTCAGTTCTAATCTGATTGTAATTAAAATAACTGTTGGTCTTTTGGTGGCCAACTTCGACAGTTGGACCAGTTCGTGGCACCTGACAGTTTACAGACTAGATCAGGGAGACTGGGGTTCCGTCGCGCGTACCCGACCCGCACGCGATTCACTGGAATTGCCGCGGGCGCCAGCGTCAGCCCGGTCAGCACTGGCCTGGAGCTTGTGGGGGGGGGGGGGGGGGAGGCGCCAGCGTTAGCTGCTCAGCGCCCCCCTCCCCGGCCGGCGCTGGCGTGGGGGTTGTCGGGGGATGTTGTAGCTGGAAGCTGCCCAGCTCCCCCGGCCAGCGCCGGCCTGGGTGTGGTAGCTGGAAGCTGCCCAGCTCCCCGGGCCAGTGCTGGTCTGGGTGTGGTAACTGGAAGCTGCCCAGCTCCCCCGGCCAGCGCTGGTCTGGGTGTGGTAGCTGGAAACTGCCCAGCTCCCCGGCCAGCGCTGGCCTGGGTGTGGTAGCTGGAAACTGCCCAGCTCCCCCGGCCGGCGCCGGCCTGGAGCTGCCGTAGATGTAGCTGGAAACGGAGCTCAGTTCAACAAGGAGGTGTTTTACGCGAGGTGAACGTGCGGTGTTGGACGTGGCTCGAACGCACGCGGCGGACCAGGTGTGACTCGACACCCGGACAGTCCGGGGTCGTCCCCAGGCGGCCGGCGAGCCCTGCTCAATCTCCGGCAGCACAGCTCCGCCAGCAGCCCTGTGGATGTTCGTGCTGGATGAGACTGGGATGTCGATGTCGATGTCGATGTCGATGTCGATGTCGGTGTCGGCAGCTGCGACTGCTGCTCGGCGGCGCCGCTGGAGCAACCGCCCTCCTCCCCCCCCCCCCCCCCCCCTGCGCCAGTCGCAGCCTGCCGCAGTTTGCACTTCCCTCCACCCCCGCCAGCTCCCGAACACCGCGCCGTAATAGATTGTCCGACAGAACTTGGCTGGCGGATCCAGATTACTGCGAAACCGATGCTGAAGGCGGCGTAAAAAAACGCCTCGGGCGCGGCAGAGTTTAATGGGAGTACACCTCGGGTAATGCCGGTGGCGATAAGGAGAACGAATAGTGCACGTGTCACGCACACCGCAGAACCCGTCCGGCTTTGGCCAGCGTCCAGGGCTGGCGTCAAGGCGCGGCGCTGTCGCTCTGGGCAAATTGACCATGGCACGTGACGGGCCCCGTAAAGAAGCCCAATAACTAACCAACTAACGGGAGTCGGCTACTGGCGCTAGGCCGAGGCGCCACTTCGGCGAGCCAGCAGTCGGCGTGTTCCGTCAGCAGGCTGGCTCGTCATCAGCTGTACTGGTCCGTTAGTGTCCAGTCCGTCACTCTCTGGTCCGCCAGTGTGCGGTCCGTCAGTGTCTGGTCCATCAGTTGTACGGTCCGTCAGTGTCCGTTCCGTCAGTGGCCGGTCCGTCAATGTACGGTCCGTCAGTGTCCGGTCCGTCAGTGTCCGGTCTTAAATGTCCGGTCCGTCGGTGTGCTGTCCGTCAGCGTCCGGTCCGTCAGTGTCTGATCCGCCAGTGTCCAGTCCGTTAGTGTCCGGTTCGTCAGTGTCGGTCTTGTCAGTGTCCGGTCCATCAGTGTCTGGTCCGCCAGTGTACGGTCCGATGTTGGTCCTTCAGTGTCCGGTCCGTCAGTGTCCGGTTCTTTCATGTCCGGTCCGTCTGTGTGCTGTCCGTCAGTGTCTGGTCCGTCAGTGTCCGGTCCGTCAGTTTGCTGTCCGTCAGTGTCCGGTCCGTCGGTTGTGCTGTCGTCAGTGTCCGGTCCTTCAATGTCCGGTCCGTCAGTGTCGGTCCTTCAATGTCCGGTCCGTCAGTGTCCGGTCCGTCAGTGTCCGGTCCGTCAGTGTCTGGTCCGCCAATGTCCAGTCCATCAGTGTCCGGTCTTCAATGTCCGGTCCGTCAGTGTCCGGTTCGTCAGGTTTGGTCCGCCAGTGTCCAGTCCGTTGGTATCCGGTCCTTCAATGTCCGGCCTGTCAGTGTCCGGTTCTTCAATGTCCGGTCCGTCAGTGTACGGTCCGTCAGTGTCTGGTCCGCCAGTGTCCGGTCCGTCGGTGTCCGGTCCGTCAGTGTCTGGTCCGTCAGTGTCTGATCCGTCATTGTCTGGTCCGCCAGTGTCCAGTCCGTCAGTGTCCGGTCCGTCAGTGTCCGGGCCGTCAGTGTCTGGTCCGTCAGTATCTGGTCCGCCAGTGTCCAGTCCGTCAGTCTCCGGTCTGTCAGTGTCCGGGCCGTCAGTGTCTGGTCCGCCAGTGTCCGGTCCGTCAGTGTCTGGTCCGTCAGTGTCCGGTCCGTCAGTGTCCCGAGAGGAGCTGCAGTATGCAGAGTGAGGGCCGTGGCGTGCGGCTCTGGGCCAACCCATCAACGGACGATAATTACCTGCCGGCCGGGAGAACGATCAGCGGACGGCTCCATCACCCCCCTCTCCCCCCCCCCCCCGTCCGTCCCCTTCTTCGTTTATTGACCACGATCGAGTCACGGACCCATCCCCTCCCTCTGTCCCCACTCCCTCCGTTCTCCCTTCCTCGTCTACTGACCGCGGTCTGGACACTGGCCACCGCCTGCGGCTGGTCTCGCAGCGCATTGGCGATGCTTCACGGCTAAGCATTTGTCAACCTCAAGCTAGTAGCTGATAAATGATAACGAACATATTGGTATTTCTGAGCGTGTCATCCTATTACACTCCCTGTTGCAATCTCCACGAGACCCCGTGAACTGGGGCGCGCCGGCTGCAGTCGACGCGCCGGGCCGAGTCCGGAGCCTAGGGCGAGCCCGGAGTCCTAGGGCCGAGCCCGGAGCTGCCGCCGCCGCCCGCCCGCCGGCCGACGCTCGCCTGCAGCCGCCGGCCGAGCCTGCAGCAGCGGCGGTGGCAATCGACGCCGGCTGTTTGCGGCGCCCGGGGCGTGGACGCGTCGGCCGGCCCGCGCTTGCGGCGCTCCGCGGCCCGGCGCCCACGCCTGCCGCCGCCGCCGCAACGCTGGCTGTTGGGCGGGGCGTGGAGTGGTCATTCAGGCGCCGGCTCGGAAGGTGGTCGTCAGCGCGGCGCTCGCGTGCGCGCCGAGTAGCCCCCGTGCGTGCGAGTCACGAGTTGTGTTTTCCCGGCTGGTTATTGATTTAGCCCGGCGGCCTGCGGACGTGATTGTTGAACTGATCGATCTCGAGGCCCCGGCTGAAGTAGCAGCCGGCAGTCCGGCTGATGGCAAACACCTCATAACGTGTCCAAGCCTCGCACCTCGCCCTTGACATTTCCCGCGCGTCGTCACGACGCCACGGAAGACCGGCTTTGATGGGCGAGGCTTAGGCGTCTTTAGCTTTCGAGACCAATGTGCGCTCTGTAAGGCCTTCCTTCGCCTCGGAGATTGCAGAATCGCAACAACTGTCATAGACTCGTCTGCAGCGCCGTATTAGGATCTTGGGAGTGCAACGCACCGCTGTACGTCTCGTGGACTGCCTGTCGCGGGGGCTCGGACTCTGCGGAGACGGCCGCCGCCTGCCGTCCCCTCCCCCGCTGATCACCGAGCGGCACACGGTCTGCGGGTCGCCGCCCGGGCGGCTTGTATCCCTGGGTCATCGCCGGCGCCCGCCCAATCTGCCCGCATCATCGACGGGCTGAGCGGGCCACCGACGCGTCGTCCGGCCAGGGTTTTACGACGGCGGGGACGGCGGCCGCGGCCTGTAGCCGGCGGCTGTAAGCGGAGCCGTGCCTCCGCCGCCGCCGCCGCCCGCCAAGCCGCCGCCGCCGCCGCCGCCGCCGCCGCCGGTGCGACGCTGTGGCGTGGGCGTGTCCCCTCCCTCTCGTCCTGCCGTCTCCCCGCGGCCTGACGAGACTGCAACGCGGGAAACAGTGGTGAGCGCAAAACGCGCCGCCCGCCTCGGTGACCCCGTGACCCGTGGTCCGTGATCCATGATCCATGATCCGTGATCCGTGATCCGTGACCCGCGACCTGCATCCCTCCGGCAGCAGGCGCGGCCCCGGTGGCATGCTGCCGGAGCCGGCGTCGGGCGCCGAGCTGACGTGTGAGATGGTGAGGGAGGTGACGCAGGATCTGACGCGTGTCGCTGTTCTGTTTGCAGGAGGACTACTACATCGCCGGCGAGGTGGCGCTGCCTGTGCGCTGGTGCGCGCCGGAGATCCTCGAGTGCACGCCCTCCACCATCGAGACCAAAGGAGGTAACGGATCGCCAGCCCGGCGTTTGTGTCCGGCGCGGCGTCGGACTGAGGCTCGCTCCGCGCTGAGGGTCTCCCCGCGCTGAGACTCGCTCCGCGCTGAGACTCGCTCCGCGCTGACTCTCCCCGCGCTGAGACTCGCTCCGCACTGAGACACCCTCCGCGCCAAGACTCGCTCCGCGCTGAGACTCTCCCCGCGGTGAGACTCGCCCCGCGCTGAGACTCGCTCCGGACTGAGGCACGCTCCGCGCTAAGACTCGTTCCGCGCTGAGAGTCTCCCCCGCTGAGACTCGCCCGCGCTGACTGTCCCCGCGCTGAAGCACGCTCCGCACTACGACTCGCTCCGCGCTGACTCCCCGCGCTGAGACTCGCTCCGCGCTGACTCTCCCCGCGCTGAGACTGGCTCAGCGCTGAGGCACGCTCGGTCTGTGCTGAATGTTGAGCACGGTTCGCGGGCCCTCAATCAGTCGACTGTTGAACAGTTAACGGCATTCGGCGGGCGGCGCGACTCAAGTGCCGTGATTAGCAAAGCAATATCGCGCTGCCCGGAGAGGCTGGCGGTGAATGTCGCTGTTAGCCGCGCGGACTCAGCTCGCCGTAGCGAACTGGGGTTGGTTATGACATTCCAGCGAGCTTCGGCGTTAGAATGGCGAGTATGCGCGGAGCGAGCGTAGGCGCGCGGCGCTGTGCACCCTGTTTCAGCTGTTGGGGGTTCGTGTGTTTCCGCTCGCCCCCTACCGTGTGTGGGCCGCGCTGGCTCATGCGACTCAGTGAGGTTTTGGGCCCTCGACAGTGGCGTGCGTCCAGGAGTACGTTGTTAGGCTATTCAAGATGATTTTGGTTAGTTTTAATTGAGTGCCGAGGCTATCACAATGCGCTGTTATTTTTGTATTGATTAAGTCATTGGCGTGCGTCCAGGAGTACGTTGTTAGGCTATTCAAGATGATTTTGGTTAGTTTTAATTGAGTTCCGAGGCTATCACAATGCGCTGTTATTTTTGTATTGATTAAGTCCGAACCTTGTTTATTAGTTGGAGTTCTGGGTTCAGAGCGCACTCTAAGCAGTGCTCGTTGCATGGACTCCGATCCCAGCATCTGGCCGTGAAATTCCAGTTCAATGACGGGATTTCCAGCGAAGGCATAGCGTGCCACAGTGCTCGACACGGCCCTCCGTGCCCTCGGATCCCTCCTGACATTTTTACAAGCGAGGAAGAGACGCCTTCTGCCATATTGCCGTTTTGATGCCGGCGGGTCCTGTCGCGGGCTTCGTTTCGGCCGCTCCAATATCGCCCCGCCTTTCCCCACTCCGCAGTCCTTCCCAATAAAAACATCGGGCGGTATTGGTCGACTCCGTTTCGAATCGACGCCACTGGCCATATTGACGGGCGGCGGCGGCGGCGGCGGTGGTCCGGTCCGAGTCGCAAACAGCCGAGCGGCGCGTGCGAGCGGCGGCCATCGATTCCAACGGGCTGCGGCGCCGGGCCGGCGTCACGGACCCCCGCCGCGTGACGTCGCGGTGCCGCGGCGCCGGGCCGTCACGTCACGGTCGCGCGCGCGCGTCACAGCGCCGGGCGTCGTGACGTCGGACGGCGGACGGGCGCCGTGCGGTGCCCGGATGGGGCGCTGAGATGGCCAGAGGACCGGTGTCACCGGTGTCACCGGTGCAGATGTCACCGGCGCGGATGCTGTGTCTCGCTGTGTTGTGTGCCCTGCTGTGTCTCGCTGCGTTGTCGCTGTGGCTCGTTGCTGGACAGCTGGCGTCTTGTCCACGGGGCGTTTGAGATGAGCTGGCTGGGCTCTGGGATAGTGTTCGGGCTGCTGTCCCGGTCAGTGGCGTTGGTTTTCACATCGCATTGCGACCGCGTATTTCTAAGGATGCCGTCAGGTTTCAGGTAGTCCTGAAAGGACTTGGGAATGTTTTGCGTATAGCTACGTGCATATCTGGGCTTAAAAGGGTCTGACAGCTTCGAGCTTCGAACTCAGAACCCTGCGATTGGTAGACAGATGCTCCAACCGCTTAATTTCCAACCGTTGATCCTCCAGGGATAAGATAGTTGGGATCTTCGGACCAGGATCTCCTGAAATGTGACATCATGGAGCGGCTAGCCTCAGGCTTTTAGGGCCCATTAGCACCTGACAATGTCTGGAGAAATTGGCCGGAAGATTCTGCGTAATGACGTCAAAGTCCAAGCACAAAAGTAGGAAGGGTTATTAAATTAACTGGTATGTTACTGCGACCAGTCATGAGTACTCAAGATGATGTTCACTTCTGAGAGATAGCACATTAGCTCATGCCAACGAATGGGCGTCATATGCCCTGGGTAGTTGGCGCGCCCTTAAGCCCAACTCATCATAATCACCATCACATCACCATCACCATCACCATCACCATCACCATCACCATCACCACACAATGTCCGCGTGCGTAGTCTTGCAGTGCATACCTGCAGTCCATTCGATCGCCTGTTAATGGCGCTACATGACCGCGCAGCAGCGGAGTGCGAAATCCCACATAATCAGTCGAGTTTGCGGAAACCACTATAAACCAGCCGCCGTCACGAAGGCCATCCGTCCAGCAGACGGGCCCGATCTGGCGCGGCGCGGCCGACAGACCCGACCAATTCATCACAACGTCCCGATCGCGAGCGACGATAACCCATTATGAGCCGGAGCGGGGCGGCGAGGCGATCAGGCCGCG